AGAAGGAGGCGTGGCAGACCCCACAAAGTATATATATATTCTTGATCAGGGCGACTAGCTGAGTCGATTTAGCCCTGTCCGTCTGTCTGTCCGTCCGTCCGTATCTATGAACGCTTCGATCTCATAGATACGATAGATATAGAGACTTGAATTTTTTTTCCCAGGGCCGTGTATATCACGCGCATATTGAGTTTATCACTAAAACATAATCGTATAAGACATCACTTTAATTTATTTTAAATAGTTCTTTGCATTTTGACTGACAATTGACTGATTCTCAATTGTCTCATATTTGTAGGTGCAATTTTTACAGAAGAAGAAAGAGAAGGTAGTGTCGAATCGGCGTTTAAATATGCGATTTATCGCATAAATAAAGAAAAAATACTCCTGCCCAATACACAGCTGGTGTATGATATCGAATACGTACCCCGCGATGATTCCTTTCGCACTACGAAGAAGGTCTGTCGGCAGTTGGAAGCTGGTGTTCAGGCCATATTCGGTCCCAGCGATCCATTGCTAGCCAGTCATGTGCAATCAATTTGCGAAGCATTCGATATACCTCACATTGAAGCTCGCATCGATCTAGAAGTTAGTGCCAAAGAATTCTCGATCAACCTATATCCTTCTCAAAACATCATGAATTTGGCCTACCGTGATCTGATGATGTATCTCAACTGGACTAAAGTCGCTATTATTTACGAAGAAGATTACGGTAAATAACAACCATATTCATATATAAACATGAGAGCTTTTGCTAAATGCGGTAAATAACAAAATTTTTCGATTATTGTAAATCTGTGTTTTATTTTTTTGAAGGACTTTTTAAACAACAGGACCTTATTCACTCATCCGCAGAGATGAGAACTGAAATGTATATAAGGCAAGCAAATCCGGAGACTTATCGTCAAGTTTTACGTGCAATACGTCAAAAGGAAATTTACAAAATAATAGTTGACACCAATCCAACTAATATCAAAAAATTTTTTCGATCAGTACGAATGATTTATTTACTATCATTTGCTTTTGTATATATTGTTATTGTTATGGTATATTTATGTGTGTACTATGAGTAGATGCTGCTACAAATTATTTGAACAGAAATCTTGCCATAGTTGGGTTTCCAGCTGACATGACATTTTATCAGCTTCGTTTGAGCGCTAGAGCATGGCTCTGCTGTTTCCAAAACTTTATATCTTGTTCTTGACATCGAAATAATTGTTTTTTTTTTGCTTTTTTTTTTTCGAAAGCTCAATCCTAAGTACATAGGGGAAACGAATGGAAAAATCTGAATTTTTAAATTAAAACTAAAAAAAATAAATTTTGAAAATTAAATCGAAGTATTGAATTTCAAAAAACCTTGGGAAAAATTTAATATTCAGTTGTGTAAGTGCCAGAGTACCTCTACAACGTTGGTCGTTATCTAATCGATAATGTTCAGTCAAAGAACACAACTTAAGTCAGTTCCCGCCATTTCCCATAGGTTACGGTAGGAAAACGTTCCTACAGAAAAATAGATCAATTATATATAATCCAAAGGTGGTGCGGCACCCCGGGCTCTGTCTTATATTAATAAACAATAAAGGGCTGTAGATTTTGAAACTGGTAAAATTTCTTGTAGCTAGCATATACATACATTTAAATTTAGATTAATGCATATATATATATATATATTGATTTAAATTACGCTCTACTTTGAACGGTTCTCAACCACAGATTTTGCAGCTGCAAATGAACGACCATCGATATCATTATATGTTTACAACTTTCGTGAGTATCAGTATCTCAAGATATCTTAGATAAAAAATGTTGTGTATCTCTGTATGTGTGTCTAGGACATAGAGACATTTGATCTGGAGGATTTCAGATACAACAGCGTCAATATAACGGCCTTTCGATTGGTTGACGTCGGAAGTAAGCGTTATCAGGATGTAATTGATCAGATGCAGAAGCTCCAACACAGCGGGCTAGACTTGATCAATGGGATCCCGTACATACAGGTAATACTCATGTTAGATATTGAAACTCTGTTGCTTGGCACTTCAATAATAATTTTGGATGATTCCTGCATTTTTATAAGAAAGAAGACACTTTCATCTATATATACATATAAAATGTTCCAAGCATTAACATATACAATCAAAACAAATGAATTAATGCAACCTATAAATTGTAAGTCAGGGAGGTCAACAGTAGAAACATTAGCTGTGCCTTCGCAGGGTAGACTAGAATGCTTTATTTATCATCAACCTATTGTTTAATATTTCAGACAGAATCTGCCCTAATGTTTGACTCAGTTTACGCCTTTGCCCACGGACTCAAACAACTGGATAGCAGTCACACATTATCATTTAAAAACCTTTCGTGTAACTCAGACAGAGTTTGGAGTGACGGACTTTCCCTCTATAACTACATAAATTCGGTATGTGAACAATTTGAATTATAATTGTCATAGTGTATACTGTATATCTGTCTGCCCGTCCGTCACGATCGATCTCAGAGAATATAAGAGCTAGACACTTCAATATTTATACCCTGAACCCATTGAAAATGGGAATACGCAGTTCGAGGTTATCATATTTTTTCGATAGCTCATACGATAAGTTTTTATCGAAAATTATCAACAAATTGATTTTGTTGTTTGAGCCTCATTGGAATACTATTGGACCTGTAGACTTCCTATTTAGTGTGTATATAAATATGATAATTACAAACGAATGTCACGCGTATATTGAGTTGAATTCAGACTTAAAATTATATTTTCTAGATAATTAGAGCTAGAGTCTTAAAATTTTAAACATAGATTTGTGATTATTTTTATAGAATTTCGGTTTTTGTTATTCTTACAATTATTTTGGTTTCACTGCTTATAGGCAGCAGTTGATGGCTTGACTGGAAAAGTGAACTTCATTGAGGGGCGAAGGAACAAATTTAAAGTCGACATACTCAAATTAAAGCAAGAGGTAATACAAAAGGTGGGTTTTTGGCAGCCGGATGCAGGCGTTAATATTTCCGACCCAACGGCATTTTACGATTCCAATATTGCAAATATTACGCTGATTGTAATGACGAGAGAGGTATGTCTAGAATTTATATATTCATTTGTATCGTAATATTTACTGTTTGCGAGCTTCAAGGAACGTCCGTATGTCATGGTCAAGGAGGATGCAAACTTAACGGGAAACGCTAGATTTGAGGGCTTCTGCATTGATCTACTGAAGGCCATAGCACAACAAGTTGGATTTCAATATAAAATCGAACTGGTGCCCGATAATATGTATGGGGTGTACATACCCGAAACGAACTCTTGGAATGGAATCGTTCAGGAGCTAATGGAAAGGGCAAGAAGATCTCTATATTTGTATATCAAAATTTACACTTCAATAATAATAACGCTTTAACAAATTAATAGCGCGCCGATTTGGCTGTGGCTTCGATGACCATTAACTATGCAAGAGAAAGTGTAATTGACTTTACCAAGCCATTTATGAATCTCGGCATTGGTATTCTATTCAAGGTAATAATCAGTTATATCATTCAGGTCCGAAATACTTGCCCAAATTTGTTATGTCACTATTGCTATCAATATAATGTATATGCACGTATGGGCTAGTGTTCCCAATATTGGTTTTATCCATTATCAAGGTAAAGAACTCCACGCGTCGGTTGTCTGTTGTCTGATACTTCCTAGGGAAGAAGGGACAAATTAAGCCACTTCGATTTTGTACGAATCTTGACGTGATAGTCTTTACTTCATAGCCCCTATACAAAATGTTATATGTATATAATATAAATAAACCTGTTAATACCATGGATATATTTTTATAGCGCACAATGATGGACGAGAGCGAGAGGGATAAGCAGCGGGATTCATTCAAGAATATTAATTCTAAGCCTCAGACTCTAAAATAAGCGTCTCGAACGAAATGGAAGGCCTATGAACAAAATCCGATTTGATGGGAAGGGGAGGAGGGGGGGGGGGGGGGACATATTAGAAAACGAATATCAGTTTATTATTTTTATGGGGTATGATATCGCTGCTCTTTATACGGAGGGTAAGACGGACGGTCGTAGCTAGATATCCTCAGCTATGAGCGAGTATAACGGAGTCGTCTGCGTTCAACTGAAATTTACTTGTTTGTTATTTATAATGTATATATTCACGTCGCTTGGCAATAATTACATATACATGTACATGTGTTTATGTATTGTAAATCGGCATGCATCCATACACAACTTTAAACATGTATTTATTTTCTTAAAGTTTAGCTTTTCATTATATTGATTAAAGGCCCTTGATCACTATCTTTAGGTGCCAACCAGTCAACCCACACGACTGTTTTCCTTTATGAACCCATTGGCAATCGAGATATGGTTATATGTGCTAGCTGCTTATATATTAGTATCATTCGCGCTATTTGTGATGGCTCGATTTTCACCATATGAATGGAAAAATCCGCATCCATGTTATAGGGATACTGATATCGTTGAGAATCAGTTTTCGATATCAAACAGTTTTTGGTTCATAACGGGAACGTTCTTAAGACAAGGATCTGGACTAAATCCGAAGGTAAACACTGCACTTGCATATATGTATGTATCTATATATGTATATATCGATAATTGTGGTCTCCTATCCCAAAAAGGCCAAAGTATTGAAATATCGTTTTTTTGTTTACTCTTACATATTTCATTTAAGTACATTATCCATTTGCAGATTTCAGATCGTGCACAAACCAAGTTTTTCTCTTTTATGAATCCGCTCGCTATAGAAATCTGGTTTTATATAGCGTTTGGGTACATTTTAGTATCCATGTGTATCTGGATAGTAGCACGACTGTCACCAATGGAATGGGTACGATCAAAGCCCGCCTGCTCCATGGCCTGTGATCATATGCTGCGGAAAATTCGTAAAGCGAATAATGCTTACGACCATTTCGAATTAAAATTTATTGCAAACTCTACTAATGATGGAACACATAATAACGATGATAATTATAATGCTAACGATGACATTGATGTCGATCTTGACGATAACCCAGATTCTGATGATACTTTGGAACTAGAGACCGTACAGAATAGTTTTACACTGAAAAATAGCTTTTGGTTTGCAATCGGCGCTCTTATGCAGCAAGGGGCCGATCTCTATCCCAGGGTATGAATATCACCATCTACTAAATACCATCTGCCCCATCCCTATTACACAGTTGAGAAGCGCAGTATTACAAAAATGTACATCGTTGCCCATGTAGAATCAGAATACAGATATGCGTTACCCTAAAGCTTACAACGTATTGCAATGTAAGGTCTCGTGGGATTAGCTGGAAGTAATCGAAATGCTCAAGGCTCAATATGACATCGGTGACGTCTTTATTACATATCTGTCTTCAGTGTTTATTTTTTCGGAATCGGATCACATAATACTCTCTATGTAAACGGGTTTGTTTTTTTTTTTTTTTTTTAGGCTACAACTGGATTCTACTGTAAAGTAGACATATATACTTAACTGTCCTTCGATTACATCAACATTCGGATAACCCAATAATTCAAATTGTTCAATTAATTGTGCATATATGTATACATATATGCAATATCTTGAACTTTTTTAATTTTTCAGGCGACATCGACACGCATTGTTGGCGGCTGCTGGTTTTTCTTTTGTTTGATCATAATCTCGTCATACACCGCGAATTTAGCTGCCTTTTTGACAGTCGAGCGAATGATAACACCAATCGAAAGTGCCGCTGATTTGGCCGACCAAACGGAAATTCAGTATGGCACATTGGAGGGCGGATCAACGATGACGTTTTTCAGGGTGAATATGCATTTATTCATATATATATATATTCAATTTATGTATGATGGCATATGCACACTAAACACGTATAAAGTAGTACCAGATATTCCAGCACGATTTCATTGCAACTGCTCTTAATATTCAAGCAGAGAAAAGACGGTGTTGACAATGATAACGACAACACGCAATGCCTGGCTTGGCGGTTTTTATACCCTGAACCCATTGAAAATGGGAAATCAGGGTACAATGGTTTTGTTGAAATGTATGTAACAGGCAGAAGGAGGCATGGCAGACCCCACAAAGTATATATATTCTTGATCAGGGCGACGAGCTGAGTCGAT